GGTGAGTGAAAACCAACTTGATTTAAAAATGAGTGTATTTCTCGAGAAGTGACAAACTATGTTTAATCGGTTGACACTTCGTTCTAGCGGGACGGAATGTCTGACCAAAGTGCATGCCACTTGATGCTGGCGCATCTTTTACAGTGTGTGATGTTGTGGACCTGAAATGACAGGTACACATTGCCAATTAGCGTTCTGTCCACAAAACTCTCCGTAATAAACACCCCGCTGATATCTATGGGAAATAAGCAGCGGTTAATGCGAATGCACGCCAGCCTGGACTGTATCTGCTTGCATAAAGCCCAAAATTTGCTTTCACTAGAGAGACCAACAATGTTGGTGATTCGAAGCTGCCGCCAACTTTGTCCAAACATTCAACCTGGCTTACTGTTATAATCTCTGAAACGGTGTTCTAGTATTCTGACGCATGGTAGATTCCCTCAAAACGCGTTCTGTGAATTCACAGTTCCCAAAGTGCCATCTTCAGATCCTGCGTGCCGCGTAATCTAGTGTGCCTGAGAGATACGACTGAGGTAGATTTGATCAAACTGAAAATCTACTGTTTTGGTGCACATCCGAGTAAATAGACAAAGCGAATGAGTTTCAGCGTTACGTGTCCAGGAGTCCATCTAACAGCTGTGCTTCTGAACAGTGATTTTTGACAATATAAGTAAAAATGTCCATTTCACAAGTTACAAAGTAGGTATACAGCTAATATCCATCTCCCCTCATGTTACCTCTTTATACTTGATATCAACATTATCAAGCTTTTCCATATGACATTTAAAGAACACGAAGGGCTTCACAAGCAATCAGAGTGGAAAAAAGTCGCGTGCCCTTTTTCAGTCGTCATTCTGATTGAGAAACTCTAGAGTTTAGGCAAATATTTGACACTTTGTAGTTCTTGCCTTCTAGAACTTTACTGCTCATGAAACACTTGATTGTGTTCAATTACCGGTATAGTCATGACTCCCAGGAGTTGCTAATATAGTTCAAGCTAAGACCGTGAGCCAGGCAGTCCAGCAAACTTCCATTTGAAGTTTCTTCCCGTCGGTGAGGCCACTCTGAACTGAAAAGCAGAGAAGCACTGAGCAGTTGTTTCATACCAAGTGACAATCAGCAACGGTGCGCATCTCACGAAACTCATAGAGTTTCAAACCAGCGACCTGGTGGTCAGCGTCCCAACACTTGACCGTTCGACCACGAGTGGCTGATCAGCAATGTGTTTAACTGGCATTTAGACAGGATATGGCACCGCTCGACCTCCAGTTGCAGAAACCACACCACCCAGTCATGTATTGACTGGCCCCTTGAGTTTCACTCTAGTGAGATCAGAGTGAGTCACTTAGAGATTTATGGTGGTGCGTAGAAAGTTGCTTAGTCAACACGTAACTAAGTGATGTGGACACGTGATTGAAGGATGAGCGGCAATGTATCTTAAGTGCGAGTTAGACAAACTGCTACACGGCCGCTCGTGGTCAAACTGTTAAATGTTCAAACCACTAGCCAAGAAATTGCGGGTTTTTGTGATGCATATTGCTGAAAATTTCCAATAAGGATGAAACAACTGCAACATGCTTCTCAGCTTTTCAGCGCAGACTGGCCTCACTGATTGCGCGTAATCTCACTTGAAACTTTCCAACTTTTCTCCCATTATCGCGAGTCCAAAAAATTAATGCCCAAATACAATATATACGCTTTTGTTCACATTCACATCACTCTCGTTTGAACAGTCGTCCTCCTGTCCTGGCGCAATTATTCTGGTGAATTTACACCAAAGGGGTCGAAGCACTGGATGCGAGTTTCGCTTTTATTAGGGCTCATCAGCAGTGCATATCCAATGACCGAGCCGGGATTTGCACTCCGGACACCTGACATGCGAGGCGAACGTGTTACCACTATCCCAACAGCGCACGTTGGACGCATCTGAATACTCACGTCTGAACGGGCGGACGTCTGAACGCTTGAGCGATGTGATTGGTATACCCGACACATCAGGTGTCACGAGTCCGGAGTTTAAACCCCGGCACTGCTGATGAGCTATAATAAGAGCGAAACTCGAGTCCAGGGCTCCCCCTTTGGTGTGGATTCATCAGGAGAATTGCGCCAGGACAGGAGAACGACTGTTCAAACGAGAGTGATGTGAATGTGAACAATACACATCCCGCAAACCCCACAATATACGCTCTTATGAGGTGGGCGGTCTTTGTGGACACCTTATCATAGCCAGAAATTGAGCCGTGTGACTTGCGGTGATCATTTCTAGATATGGCACTTCCTTTAAAGGGTCCACCGTGAGGTTTTTTGTAATACGCGGTCCAGTGCGGAATCTAATAAAGACTGCTGCCATAAGTGACCAAAACGTCCCTTCACTTGTGACGTCCGCTTCTTCTTCTGGGCCAACGATAGTCCAAAAACGGGTTCAAAGATGCCGTATACCCTGCAGTCAGTTTTAATTCAATGCCCATGCAAAAAGTGACCCGAAACCAATACAGAACCTCTTCATTGCTTTTAGTTGGAATACCAAGCAAGACAGTCGAACCAATAATACCGGCGCCCTCAGTTACTGTCACGACTTCCTATAATAGACTGCGCCATATAGCTATTGTAAGAATAATACTCATTTCTGTATTTTGATCATGGGGTTATGCGAAAAAAATGAAACAGCCAAAAGAATTTTGAACAAAGATTTGAATTACGCTAATCATCCCCCATAGTGGAAAGAGTTCTCTTAACGACTAACATGACGTCTGAATTTTGACGAAATGCAGTCAGTTACAAACCCCATCGGTGTTAATGAGAGAGTTAATTGAATCTTTCATTTTGCGGAATTCTTCAGCTGAATGTGCTACACAAGGGCCACCCCAGGTTGCAGTTGGCACAATTTTCGAGATATCACGATGCATTCTCAAGTTAGGACAGGCTGCTTCTAAGGTTGCTGAAGACTCGTTGACAGCCTACCGCAGAAAGTAACTCTGGGTACAGCTGTTTACGAAAAAAATGTACACCTTCGATTTTGGCACGGAACTCCTTATTCATTTTGTCCAATTCTTGTCCAGTTCTTGTCCAAATTAAAGGTCAGCTGCGAAATGTTACAACCAGACAAACGATCCAGGGTACAAGTTCGAGGATGTCGCTCGCCGAATAATGCGGCCGACTGTAGAGGTAATTTCTTTCGGCTAGTGTGTGGGTGTGGTTTGTGAAATTGTGTATCGATGTGCCCGTTTGGTCAATAATGAGTGTATCGGTGCATCGCACACCAGGTAGTCCAAAGGGATCATCTGTCTGTACCACAAGCCGGCCCACCGGCACACTGACTGCTTGGGCTTTCACTCGATAAGACCCTCTAATAAGCCGGCTAGGTGTATTTTGTTTGTCCTTACCTCACTATTCGCCAAGTGTGGTAGGCTGTGCTAGTACTTGGACGTAAATTCACTGCCCGGTAAACCGCTCGCCGTCAGTCTGCCGAAATCGCCATCAGTTCGGGGCGGCGGTCGGCTTCGTTCCGACTGATTCGCAGGGACTTTGATCAGGATGAACCCTTATGCGCGGATGTACCTCACCATAGCATTTCTTCTTGTCTGGAGACCGAACAGTCTTCTATCGGTACTTGGACAACGTGAGTTACGAGAATGACTTCTTTGCAATCTCGGCTATCGCTTTGTTTTCACTGCACGTGTATTTGTTGAACGTGGTCTGAAACACTATTGTAGAATTCTTCCTTTACGCGGAATTTCACGTAGTTACTTGGTCTTTCGGATAACATTGTGTTCTGCTTAGTTGTATCAATTCCTCTCTTTATCAAGAACGAAACGCAGTAACAAAAACTAATCAACAGCTCAACGAAAAGCCTCAACGAAAATCCCTTTCATCAATAGTTCGTTTGGTGTTTTTAGACGAATCTTCCAGAAATTAGAACACAATGGAATCAGGGCTCGTTTTTTTCAAAAAAATAGTAAGTATTTTTAAGGAGAAACAATGGAATCCAGGTTAACATTAACGTGGATTTGACTCACTTTTTTTTCCTAAATTGCACCAGGCCTTAAGCAGATTGGAAATACTTAAAACTATTACAAAAAACAGACAATGTGGTTTCACCACTGAATCTTAAGCCGGTGCCGAACAAATGTAAAAATGGGCTAACATTGATTTAATGCCAAAACAACCGTTGACTCTTCAGTTTGACTCATCAACTTACAGGTCTTCATGTTTCTTTTTATGTCGTTAACTTACCTCCCCCCAGTAACAGAGCGCCAAGTCCAAGTGATGTTGCTTTCCAGGATGAAAACTCTGTCATGACCGAATCAACTAGTAGATGAAATACAGCCAGTGCCGTAGCGCATTAAACTTGTGTGAAAAAAGTCTACTGTGACCGAGGTCTCGTCAGCTGCGGTCTATCTGGGTCGTTGGTATATGTTTACCAATTCTCCAAGTTGGGGCGACTATCTTAAAAGTTTTGCAAACTGCGAGTAGTGAACACACCGTTGGATAGGTTTTTTCAAGTAAGAGAGCCTGGCGATGAATTTTGTAAACGGAAAAAACGGCAAATTTCATGAGAATAGCAAAACCCGGTAAGCAAAGCAAACAAAATCGTTACTAAGCACACAGAAGTAATAAACAGGGTTTATGCCATGCGCTACGCTGTTCTCTAGATTGGGAAATGGGAAAGACAGTCCAACTGTTGCTTTAGTCATAGATGGCAGCAAGGAAAAGTTGAGAAGCCGTTAGATAATTTAAGATTGAAGCCTATCATTTCAGAGTTAAAATATAGGATTGTTGATTTCTATGGACGATCCTTTCCAACATTCGGCATGCCTCTAGCGCTGCAAGCACTTTACGCTTGTGCCAAGTAAATGGCATTTTGTTTAAATGATGTTTGTCCGCAGTTCATCGTACACAACGTTGGCTATCTCCTCTATTCGTGGTAATCCTGATGATAAAATATGCTAAACCACAAAAGCAGATTGTGATTCCACACAGAAACTGTCACTTTAGAAGCATTGGCACTGAGAAGTGTTGTCATCATAGGAACAATGGGGCTAGTAACGCGAAGACGAATTGTGTGAAAAAAGTCTACTGTGACCGAGGTCGCGTCAGCTGCGATCTATCTGGGTCGCTGGTATATGTTAACCAATGCTCCAAGTTGGGGCAACTATCTTAAAAGTTTTGCAAACTGCGAATAGTGAACACACCGTTGGATAGTTTTTTTCAAGTAAGAGAGCCCGACGATGAATTTTGTAAACGGAAAAAACGGCAACTTTCATGAGAATAGCAAAACCCGGTAAGCAAAGCAAACAAAATCGTTACTAAGCACACAGAAGTAATGAACAGGGGTTATGCCATGCGCTACGCTGTTCTCTAGATTGGGAAATGGGAAAGACAGTCTAACTGTTGCTTTAGTCATAGATGGCAGCAAGGAAAAGTTGAGAAGCCGTTAGATAATTTAAGATTGAAGCCTATCATTTCAGAGTTAAAATATAGGATTGTTGATTTCTATGGACGATCCTTTCCAACATTCGGCATGCCTCTAGCGCTGCAAGCACTTTACGCTTGTGCCAAGTAAATGCATTTTGTTTAAATGATGTTTGCCCGCAGTTCATCGTACACAACGTTGGCTATCTCCTCTATTCGTGGTAATCCTGATGATAAAATATGCTAAACCACAAAAGCAGATTGTGATTCCACACAGAAACTGTCACTTTAGAAGCATTGGCACTGAGAAGTGTTGTCATCATAAGAACAATGGGGCTAGTAACGCGAAGACGAATTTTATCCGGTCATTCATTTCTCGTTGGTTGGCGCTCAAAGATAATCGGTTACAAGAGGGGGTACGCTGAATCGCTGAAACTGGTCGCTGTAGAGGAGAGTTATTGTGATTCACAGTAAGTCAGAAGAACACGTAAGTACGGACACGGGTGTATTGGGTACACGCGGCCAACCGGCCCGCTGTCGTGGCAGGTAAGCGAAACAACTGAGTCACATATCCAGTCAACCCACAGCGCTCACGCGAGCCAACCAATCGGACACACATCCAATCAGCCACTCAAGTCACATGCCAGATCGATGGTGGAATGACGAACGGACACGCACACGCGCAAACTCTCTGACACACCGAAGCAGCTACTAGAAGAGTTCACTGTAGTGTAGTGTTACTGGTTCGGCCAAGCACTTCGTAATGCTGTAAAACCTCATGGATTACAGACTGCATTGCCAGAATGCATTCATTGTGGAAGCCGATTTTCATTATGTACAGAGTCCTTGATAAAGAACGAATAAATACACAGGCCAAACTATGTCACTCTGATCTTCATTCACACAGTTCCTTTAGACGGTAACTATTGCAAAAGAAACTCTGTATACAATATTGGCTACCACCCACTGTCAACTGCGATATGACTTTTTTGTCCTAGAACCGATGTCCATACAAAATATAGACACTTATGTGCGCAATTTTTACTTTCCAGGATCATGCGAACTGGACGACGGTCGTGTTCTGAAACCGGGAGAAGAGATCCAGTATGGCCTACTGCCTTGCATGATATGCAGATGTGACGGTAACACTGGGAAGGCTGAATGCAGGCCACATCACTGCCCTGATATAAATTGCGGTGCTGATGAGGGTCAATTGGTCGAACCGGGGGCATGTTGTCCCACTTGTGTTTGTGAGTTTGTCTGGCTCACTTAGAATTATTGTGAAAATGTTTCAATGTGATGACTCCCTAGAATACTCCGTTAACATGCCTTCCAGGTGATTAGAAATGTCGGTTTTTCCCCCAAATCACGGATTGAAACGACGGTATGATGGTTGACATTTGTGTTTAACCGCTTTATTTTGGAGTTGCATACTGTGGACAATTCTGCGTTGGAGGGGGATGATTCACAGATATTTTGCATAGGTTTGATGTGTTGATTCTCTAGGATGAATTAGAAATAAGAACACTTTGGAGAACATTATCAAAAGCGATCTGTTTTATTTGCAGCCTGCTGCTCAGTATTTTATCAACAAAGGGATCACGGTCCTCAAGGCTAGCTTGAAAGACCATTATAACACCATCAGTCTGATCACTTTCATTTTGAATGCAGTTCTGTAGTCACACAGTCTCGATGCTTGGTCGTCCGGTTGTTTCTTGTCCAAATATGGTAGCCGTGAAAGTGAGCGGGGGGAGGTCTCATGCTAAACTGTAACAAGAAGTGCATTATGTGAACAGCTGATTTCAAAGAATCTGCCTGCCTTCAAAGCGGCTATGTTGAACTATTTTCATCTCGAAGTTTGATAGTCGTTATATTTGTTGCTGGGCAACGTTTCGCTTTTGACACGAAAGCTTCGTCAGGCCGTGACTAGGTTCCGAGGTTGGAAGAGATTTAAGGCGAAAAGAGGACCAATCAGCTGTTGGGTGTCGTTCGAGGGATTTTTGTGTGTTAGGGTGGGTGAACAAGTGTTGGGTCGATGGGCAAACCTACATGTGTTTGGGTCGAGCCTAGGGTCTAGTTCTTCTGGTTCGGTTCATTTGATGGTCCCTCTTGAACGTCGTTTGAACCTTCTGTCCGTCTGTGTGGATGAGCTACTACTAAGATAGTTGTGTTGTACCTTTTCTCNGTTGGGATTTCCACCCGCACCCCCGGTTTTTGCTAATGGTTCTACGTGGATTGACAACCACACAGTCACGTATCAACTCAGCTTATCTAAGACCGCTTTCCATACGCTCGCCAGTTCCACACCCTCGATTCCATTCTCATCTTCGTTTTTGTAGGTTTATTTCTTATGGATCTGGCCTAATTGCTCCTAAACTGAGTGGCTGGCATCTGGATCGCATTTTCGGTTAATACTGGCTAAACCAGTGAACTCATACTCAAATTGGGTGAACCAAAATTGACCTGAACTTAATCGAGTGTGGTACTGCGTTGGCATCGGTGTAGACCCGAGGGAATAAGATCGGCCGGCGAATGTGCGGGAATTGCAAAAATCACGTTTGCATGGTTATCGTTTTGGTATTTCCTCTCATGGTCTAACACAATGCTTCTTATGAGTCCACATTATACAGTGGAACTTTACGGGGAGACTGAGCCTTCTGAATGGCTTGTGGAGTGTTGCAACTATTGTAGGGCTTCGACTACTAGCCGAGAGGTC